TACAATCGTTCATCATGACATTAAGATTTTAACAGTAATAGACATTTATTTAAAAAATAACAATGTTAATAAAGGAAATCACTCTACTCTAAACGCTTCATGTGTAATCCTGCAGTTTTACCTCGTACTGCTCTTTGAGGATCTTGGCCAGTTGTGTGTAAACCTGCTCGGCTTTTTCTGAGACCTGAACGTCGCTGTGATGAACCAGGATGAAGTCTTCGTCCTCATCACCAGGGGGCGACGGCACCTACAGGCCCAGCACAGACAGAGTCGGTCAGTGAGGTCGTTGCTCACGTTCAGAGGAACAGGGGAGTGAGAGAGCAGCTCCCGTTCATCGTGAGTTTAAAAGTATCACGATCAAATGAAATAATCCTACTGGCTTAAAAAAATTATAAATCCTTCTGCACTTTTTGTTTTTACTCACTTTACTTACTCACTCGACTAAATCAGAATATAATCTGCCACTAACGGAGGAATCTCTCTGCTCACCGTGCTGATGTCCACAGATTTCCCGCTGCGCGCTGCCTCGATCATGGGGTCAAAGCCCTTGGCGGTGCGGAGGAAGCTCTTGGCCTGCTCCATGTCGTTCTTCTGCTTCGCAGTCAGCGCTGCCTTCATGTACTGCTTCTTCCGACCCTCCAGGAACTCCAGCTGCTGAACCACTGGAGGTCAAAGACAGAAAGTCAAAGGTTATATTTGCAGAGATGCTGGAGGAGGAGAGTATCAGCTTTTACCATTACATATTTTTTGATTCGCAACGATGATCATTTAGTTGGTAGAAGAAGTTTCTTTTCAGACAAAAACTGTTACTCAAATTTTTCTCGTCAATGAATCGTCAATAATCTGAAAGCTGAACTGTTGATACTGACCTGTGGGTGAGAGTCCGTCTCTTGCAGCTGATCTGTCAGGTGAAGCTGAAGGAGTTCTTTTCCGTCCCTGACCTGCAGTGGGGACGTCTAACGTTGGTTTCTTTGTCTCTTCTGGAACAGCGGCCTTCGACTAAAACAGAGGAAAAAACACTGTATCAGCAATTAACTTACATAAAAATGAATAAAATAATCATATAAAGCTTCATTTCACCGCTTCCTCCTCATCTTCCTCTTCCTCTGGAGCTTCAGCTGTATCCACGATCTTACTGGCCGCCTCCAGAGCAGCGACAAATCCCTGCTCAGCTGCTGTCGCTCTCTGGCCTGGGATTGGAGGAAATCCTGCAGAATAAAAAGCAAAAGGCTTTAGAATTCTTCAACACCGAGCTGTGGATTTACTTTTTCTCTGGTTAGGTGTGAAATCAGGTCTCGTGGCTCCGTGGTTCAGAGACTCACTGACAGTTTGTGTCGTTATAAACTTTAAGTAACACTCCTGGGTTTCAATGCAAATCTAATCTCACACAGTCAACTCAAGAAAATCCTGAATCCCAGAAGTATCTCACCGGGGGGAACCGGCAGCTCGTCAAAGTCGACGGGTTTTCCTGCTTTGTGAGCTCGGATGGCGCTCTGGTATTGCTGCAGGGACAGAGACGTGAAAAGATTTGAAACAACAGTGATAATGCAACAATATATAAACATACGAAAACATGAATTATTTCAAAATTGTCATAAATACATTTGGATCCATGTGCAGACTATGGTCATACTTAAATAAGGCAATTAACATGTTAGTATAGGCAGGTTAGATGTTCTTAGGAGTTCATAGTCGTTGCTCAAGTTGCTGAATCTGCTCTATGATATGATTTGCGTGTGCACATTGATGTGAGTGTGTTTTACACATGAGAAATGAGAATGATGAGAGATGTGCGTCGTATTATTTAGTTTGAGGAGCTGAACTTGGATGATTTGTAGAGCAGCTGTGATGTCATGACTTCAGTTTCCGTTTGCTCTCTGCAGTTTCAGGTTTTCACATCATTATGAATATGAGCGTTTTGTCTTTATTATTATTATTATGATTAAACAGGATGAAAAACGAGAGACCACCTTTATTTTTTCATTACCTTGGCGATGCGATCGTGCATTCGGGCCTTGCGGTCGTCTCCGCCGGCTTTAGCCTGAGCGGACGCCTCCACATACTTGGCTCGTCTCTGCTCCAGAGCCTCCAACACGTCTTTGGGGGGGGCGGGGGCTGACTGGGCTGCAGGGGCTGAGGGACGACAGTGTCCAAATAGTTTATCGAGATGATTTTACATAAAACTGTAAATATCATTCATTATCAGCAATTTAACATTTTGGTGAATATCTTGTTTTCTGTAGCTCGTACGTGAGTCACCTCTGACAAAATGTTGAAATTCGAATTATTACCTGCGGGTGCAGCAACTGGTTGGGTGACCTGTGTGTTTGAGGACTGGTCCTTCATTAGAGCAGAGTTTCCTCCTGAACCTGGAACATGAGATGAGCAGTCAAAGAAAAACAGCTACTGCCGGCGTCTGTTTACAATGATAATCCAGTAAAATGAGCTATTTAAAGAAGATTTGCTGAAAATACAGATTTTAACCCCTAACCCTCTTCCTCCCATCTTTTAAAAAAATGTATTCACTTCATTTAAGTGTTTTATAAGTTTAACAATCTGACAACCTTTAAAACGACATTACTTCTTTTTTGTACAAGTTTAATTGTATTTCTCCTCATCTTTTCTTTCACCTATAGCTTTACTTTTTCCCTTTTATCATTCCTGTTAATCTCCATTGAAATTCTATATTTAAACCATTATATAAATAAAGTCGGTCCGCTCCTCACCCTGTCCTGGAGATGGAGGGAGGCCGCTCAGGTCGATTGCTTGTCCTTTCTCCAACGCCTCGATCACTGGATCGAACCTCTTCAGCAAAAAAAAAAAGAAGAATCCAAACAGTGTCAGACATAATGACGTCTTTGTCAGCATCCACATTGTGGGAATGTTTCACATACTTGAGAGAAAAATCCTGCAGAATGTGACACAACAGGCTCCGACAACAGTCTGAACAAATTTAGGACCTTTCATTTGGTTTAGTTTTTAAATGCAGCTTACAGTTTAGTTGGAACATATAAGTTATTAATTTCCATTTGTGCTGTTTTTTCAGACACTTTAAGATTTTACCAGAAACCAATTTGGCCTCTTTTTAGAAATGATGTAACTTTTTGCTAATTAAACATTTCAGGTAATTTAATTTTTGTTATCTCAGCAGATGTATATTTTGTATATACAAATCCATTGTACAGACAATCCTGCTTTAATTTTATAACACTTAAGAATTTCTCCAAACAGCCCATAAATGAAGACTAACGTTACTGCCTACAGCTGCAAACAGAAAAAAATATTCATTTCAAGTCCAGAAGATTCCATGTACAAAAAAAACAACAGTGATGCAAACTTACGTTTTAAATGAATCACTGTAGTTGTGTTGCTCACCTTGCTGGTCCTGAAGTAAAGTTTAGCTTGCTCCACGTCTCCCTGCTTCTTGGCTCTTAGAGCGGCCATCTTGTATTCGTTCTGCCTCTCCAAAAGCATCGCCTTGGTCGCCTCGCTCGCTGTGGAATCACAGACGAGAAACGCACGACACTAATTACCAGAGTGAAAGACCACATTCATCACATATTCCAGTAGCAGGCAACTCCTTCGTTTTAATGCACTGTGACCTGACCTCCAAGAAACGAGATTCAAATACTAACTGAAACACAAACTTCAGGTATAAGAATGTGTCATATTACATTCATACACATTCATGCACCAAGAAAAAGAGGGAGGAGGTGTTTCCTGATTTGAACTGACTGTCCAAAGCTCACGTTTCCTAATAACCACTTATAATATTTGATATTATATATAACTTATAGAACTAACATGTATAATAACATCCACATTAACTGATATAAATATCTAATCCAAGACAAACTGACCGTCTGTCTGACCCGTTGGCAGCACGTGAGCAGGTTCCTCTGTCAGCTCCTCTGGAGATGGGACGCTGCTCAGATGGGACGCGGTGGCGGAGGACGACTGCTCCTCATCACTGGTGGGCGTGACGATCTCTGGTACAGCAGGCGGTGGCGTTGTGGCCTCCGAGTCCTCCTGCTGATCTGGAGAAGTGGATTCAGAACTCGATGGTACAGGGGGGGCAGGTCGTGCAGGAACAGCGGGACGGGGGGCGTCCCTCTGGGCTCCAGTGGCGACAGGAGGAGGGATTTCTGCCTCGTCCACAGGCCTCCCCTTTTTCACCGCAGCTAGCATCGTATCCAAAGTCTGAGAGCAACAGTAACAGTCAGTGAGTTGGAAAACAGAGGAAAAGAACTTAATATGTAATAAATAAAGCATCACTGCAGTTCAACCCAGACACGGAAAACCCAAGTGGGCAGGCACAAATTATATAAACGCTTTATATAACAAAAATGGGGATAAGAGAATTGATTTAAAAGATGAAAAATAGCATAAGAATCTCTGGAAATCCAGGGAGTAAACAGTGAGATCAGACAAATGGATAACACAGGCCGACTCTTGTGTTTTCACATGTGTGAAGCTGCTGACAGTGAAACAAAACCAATCTTTCATCCAACACCATCACTATAACTTATAGAAGAAACTTTGTAAATAGACAGTTGTTATATTTATTTATTTCGTCATCAGGCAGTCGTCTCACCCACCTTCAGACCGCGATCGAACCTCCTGGCTTTTGAGGTCTCTCCTGCGCTCTTGGCGTTTTGCGAGGCCGTCTTGTACATGGCGATCCTCTCCTCCAGAGTGTGCTGGAGGCTGCCGGGGGGCGATGAGGAGACCTGTACTTCCTGCTGAAGTGTAATAACAAAACAGGAGGCGCATGCTGTGAAAACCATAGCAAGAAATCAGTCAGCATACAAAACTGTGGGTTGAGAATGGAAAGATTTGTCAGCGATGAATAATACAAGGAAAACACAGAAAGAACTACAATTTCTGCATATCTATATGTCATCTCTAATCACTTTCTTTAAATATGAGTCAAACAAAGTATTCAAGAAGACTGAAACACAGGTTGGATCAGTGTCAGGAAATGTGGAATTGCTAAATATTCAGGCAATAATGGAAAATATTTAACGATATCAAGTATATCTATGCAGCCAGTCACATTCTCAGATACACCAATTGTTGTTTGGAGCTTATTATACTAAAGAAATCTAAGCACGTGTGTGTGTGTGTGTGTGTCTCTGCCCTGTCGACAGAGAGCAGCATGCGTTGTACCTGCGGCGGTGGAGACTCTTGTGTTACAGCTTCAGAAAGTTCGGCAGTGGTAGATGATGAGGAGGAAACAGTTGCTACATCCTCAGCTTCCCCCTCACCAACCACTTCCTGTAGCTCTGCCTGAGGAGGAAAAATATGACTACTGATCAGAAGCCAACTTTCATTGTTCATATCTAAGGCTGCATAACGGAGTGAAGCGTGTTTTCCATTAGCAAACATGCAGTTGTTTGGCAAATGAAGCTGCTGATGTCTGATCGGCTTCAGAGTTGTTCCACGGGTCGGTATGACCAAGAAAGTTTGGAAAACGTCACTCAGTCCCCTGAACATGACAGATTGCTCTCATAAAAGTTTTTTCTAATCTAAAATCTAACGAGACAAATATACAAAAACACTCACCAACAGATCTTCGTCATCTTCCATATCATCGTCATCATCGTCGTCTTCATCCACATCTTTCATGCACTCATCAGCCATTCTAGCGATGTCTTCCATGGGCAAAGGGGCTGCAACACAAAGACACAGTTATAAATATATCCAGCTGAGTTTATGTGTGACAGCACATATCACATGATATGATACTTAATACTAGATTACACAGTAGAGTCATTAGAGGATAGAGTGCAGGACGAGCAGGACAATAAATCTGAGGAGACATGTTGGGGCAGGAGTTTGTGTCATAATATTTTACACAACCAGTATGTGGGTTAGTACCGGCCGTGTTTTGAGCAATGATTCATCGCGTCTGAAGGTAATGTATACTTTTTTATACTGTATGTACTAAATCCTGACTGAGACAACACTTCTTGGTCCAATCATGTCTAAATGGTTGAATCATAACCGGTGCACTCACTCTTCCCCTTCTGCTTGGCTCGGCCTCTGACCGCAGCTTTTTCTCCAGTGATCGCTGCGAGTTCAGCCTCCAGGTCCGAGTCGTCCAGATTCTCCTCCAAACCCATCATCTCCTCAGGGTCCAGGTCAATCAACAGACCCATCTGAGACCCGGACGCAAAACATACACTTCACTGCCTTCTTGGAAATAATTACATGTTCTTGTTATCTCAGCAGATGTGTTACAGATGTTCTTCTTATCTCATCAGATGTGTTACAGATGTTCTTGTTATCTCAGCAGATGTGTTACAGATGTTCTTGTTATCGCAGCAGATGTTTTACAGATGTTAGTTGTTATCGCAGCAGATGTTTTACAGATGTTAGTTGTTACCTCAGCAGATGTGTTACAGATGTGAGTTGTTATCTCAGCAGATGTGTTACAGATTTGAGTTGTTATCTCAGCAGATGTGTTACAGATGTTCTTGTTATCTCAGCAGATGTGTTACAGATGTGAGTTGTTATCTCATCAGATGTGTTACAGATGTTAGTTGTTGATGTGTTACAGATGTTAGTCGTTATCTCATCAGATGTGTTACAGATGTTCTTGTTATCTCAGCTGATGTGTTACAGATGTTCTTGTTATCTCAGCTGATGTGTTACAGATGTTAGTTGTTGATGTGTTACAGATGTTAGTTGTTATCTCAGCAGATGTGTTACAGATGTTCTTGTTATCTCAGCAGATGTGTAACAGATGTGAGTTGTTATCTCA